GTTGTATATTTTTTTTTTTTTGGGGGGTTTTTTTTTTTGTTTTTTTTTTTTTTTTTTTTTTTTTTTTTTTTTGAGGAGGGTGTGTTTGTCCTATTTTCTTTAAAGGTGTGTTTTACTAGTTTTATTTCTGTAGTGTGAGAGAATGACAATTAAAAATTTACACCAGTGACTGACAGGTGGGTCAAAAGAGCATGCAGTGCAATTATTTCCTGAACATGGAAATACATGACTGTTGTTAGAAGACAGCATTGGTTTTAATAGTCCCAAACTGTAGGTCAGGTCGCTTTACTTCAGACTGAAAAAGCGAACTACAGTTAGGTATGCACTCTTTGATCATAGTAGGCGATTTCAGTTTCTGGAAAAATAATGGAGAACTGGGGATACATTCTGCTAGTCAATCAGTATAAAACTTACACATGGAAACAGTTTTTTTTGTCTTTTTACCTGTTTGTTTCTTTCTCGTGTTGCATGATTGAAATCAGAAAAAACATTGAATCAGGAAATCCAGGGTAAAAATGTCCCCTCTCATTTTAATCAGGACATCAATATGGATTTGCATAATAATTGTTCCTACTCAAGATGCTATTTCATTCATTAATTTAAAGGTATGGGAGTACAGTTGTCAGAGCATTCAGTTAATAGTGATTGTTCTTTTCACACAGTGCCTACGTCCCATGAAGTAAAAAGCAACCATGCTTTGCTACCCCAGTAATGCAACAAGCTCTGAAAATGATAAGACTTGACTGACTTAGATTCAGTTAGGAAGACAGATAATGTCTAGTCATTAGACACGTGATATCTATCATTGATTCTTTTCAAATAGCCCTAGTTCTCTGTCAGCTGTACAATCTTCAAGATAAAATTGTTAATTCCAAGTACATAGGCTCATGATAATTCTTGGTGTCATGAAGGCAGCCTAAAACATTACAGATTACAATAAAATAAAATTAATCCAGCAAGATGACCCATAACTAGAGGTTTTTTGCAATTGATGTTCGGAATTCATAAAAGCAGTTTTGTACTGTTAAATTTCTTCAGTGATTGTTAGATTGGAATTCATAAACCAGGCACTAATCTAAATGCTGTGTGCCAGAAAGGTGTTGAAAACATTTTGAGTTTCCTTACCGCCCCTGTAGACCAAAACGTATTATAATGTCAGTACTACTGAAATAAACAAGTGGATTTCTGTAAGTCTTTACAATTACATGAGAAAAGACTGGCAACTATTCAATTTTTAAAAGCATAAAAATTAATATACTTATTTTTTTTAATAATTGTGTTTATGCAAGTGTTGCATTAAGTTGCATTTGCAGAAATTTTGCAAAACTGAACTGCACAAATTATTAGTCTTTCTAAAACCAATACTGAGCACAATAGAGAGCACAGATCTCTCTTAAAAGATTAAGCTCAAGATAAATAAAAAATGCATCTAAATATGTGTTTAATTATCAGAGAAAAAATATTAAGTGGAAGCTGACCAAAGCCTGTGGCATTTTTTAGAATTCAGTTATCCTGCTGGGAACAAGGGACAATCCCGTGTTTCTGTATATTTGTAGAGCCGTAGGTTGGGCTTATTTATGGGAGTTGAAACTAAGGAATCACAAGAATTGAACCAGTCACTCTGTTTTATATGTCCTGAAGGCCGTTTCAGATAACAACAGATAGGAAGTCACAGTAATGTGCTATATATGTTGGGGACACAGCATGAACATACAGCAGCTGTGGTTAGAGGGCTTCACAACAAAAATAATTGGCTGGGTGTAAACGTACCGTTAGAATTACATTGCTCAAAACACTTTAATGCCTTTAGTCTGCACTGCCAGACTTTATCCTGAGCTCACGTATAATTAGTCTTCGTGTTACTGACATAATGCCAACATAGAAGAAAACTGCTGGCCTGAATGCCATGCTCTGTGTTTAGCAGAAATACAGCTGCGTGCTAGAGCCTTATCTGGATCAAATCTATGCTGCTGGGAGGATTAAGAGACAATTTAAGCCTGGAGCACGTGATGATGTAAGCAGTCTCCTTTGCTTGTGAACCAGGTGATAAGCCTGCAGCCTGCATTGCAACAACCGTTGAACTTTATGTTGGAAGGGAACCTGGAGAGGTAAAATCCTGGAAAAATTCCTTTCCACATACATAACCTGAATGCCTTTAAATGAAATAAAGAAAAAAAAAAAAATTGTAAAATTTTATCGTCTTTAGCAAGTGACGAGCAGTCAGTGTGTCTAAGAGAATCACATTTTATGGAGTAGAAGGCTGGGGGAAGATGATTACACAGCATGTGCTAGCCAAAAAGTATTCCAAGGACATAGATGTTGTCATTCCTTTCTGTTTTTGATTATCAGCAATCTGCCATACTTAGAACTTATGCATAGCTTTTGGAGAGTTTTATACAGTTGGGTTTTTTTTTATTTTTTTTATTTTTTTTTTCCTTTAATCCGTAGGTGATGTGTGTAACTCTAACCCCTGCAAAAACGGTGGCATCTGTCTGTCAGGGCTGAATGATGACTTCTACTCATGCGAGTGTCCTGAAGGCTTCACAGACCCCAATTGCTCTAGTGCTGTGGAGGTTGGTAAGTGCAAAGTTTGAATACTGGAATAGTTGAGTATCCCATTAGACTGTGGCTGGCCAACCAATGATGTTGTCCATATTGGTAGTGCTGTGGTCATTGCTGTGATCATTATTGTTTTTTCAACCTTATCTCTATGTCATACGTGTCTATATATTAATTAACAGATGGTTTAAAAAAACATCTGACAAGTGTTTCTGCAGAACATAATCACTCACAAAACATCAGTATAATTAGATCTTTCTGTATATTTGTCTGCTGATCAATGACCACAATGACAAGCTTAGTTTCTGATGGCTGTATGGCTAGGTCTAGAGTAAAGAGTAATTGCTTAAACAAGTGAAGTTACAGAAATATTGTATGAGAAATCAGAATAATACACAGTAGTAACTTGTTTGAATATTAAAACAATTACCCAGCTGGAGGTTGTAATTAATCATTATAGGTATGCACAGAGTGCAAGCCAAATTTATAGAAATTTTGTGATATGTGTTTGATTCAGAGTAAATGTGAGTGCTAGCTACAAAATATCTGCCAGTTCAGGCGTCTATCTTAAGAAAACATGAGGAAAAAAATGTGCGAAGGAAAAGAGGGCAGCTTATTGTGCCACAGGCCATGCCATCATTTTCAATGGAGCAGAAGTGCTGCAATTTGACCAAGCTTTTATACTATCTTGAATAAGGTATAAAATTACAGGAGCAATACAATTAAAAGACACTGCTGTTTAAATAGATACGCTTTCTACCTATCTCTTCCATGGAGCTGTGAGAGTTACAATAGGAAGGTAAAAGACACAAAAACATTGACTTACAGAAGAGATGGCAGTGACTCTTACTTTGTTCCTATTAGGGAAATATGCAGAAGTGGGGGTTCTGTGGCAGTTCTTTTATCGGAAGCCCCTGCATGTCCTGCCTGCGTGTCTTCTGCTGACAGCCAAATACTTGAAAGCAGTACCACCCTTCAGGAATTTCGTACTGTACGTCGTGTCTGTGGTTCATCCACCTGGGTAACTCTAACATGCTTCAGCTTGTGACAGCTGAGTAGTGCTCACAGGTTTTGCTTCTGCCAGCTGTACTGGAGGACACCAATACAGTGCTTTCTGCCTCAGGCAGAAAGACAGTGACAACAGCCTTGCTTCTACAGATGTCTGGTTGAAACTAGGCTTTACATCTAGGCTCAGCACCTCTCTAACACTGCAGCCATTCTAAATACGTGAGGTTTTCATATTTTAATGAATAAATAAAGGCTGGACAGTCACAACATGCATACCTTGTTTTGTGGATTTAGTATATTCCTCTCTATCATAGGATAAGGCAAGTAGAACTTACTCCAGGAATCCAGGGTTGAGTTTGTTCTGGTTTTGTTTTCAGCTTTTCTTTTCTGACCATGATGCTATTGTGGTTCTGGGAATTAATTCTTTTCCTCCACGATGCAATTTTAAGGGAATTTCAAATTAATTTTGTTCCTGTGAAGATAAATTTTTTGCAGACAAGCAAACTAGTTCCTGTGAAAGAACTAGCAACTTTGGTCAGACACCAGCTGCAATTTTTTCTGACTGTAAAATGTCATCCTAGCTGGTTCTTAGTTAATGTTTGAGTTGCACAAGAAACCACTTATTCCCTTGGTACAGCCACACGAGAAGCCAGGATGCACTGCCTCAGAATCCTGTTTTCCATCCCTTTTCCGACCATTTTGAAGGATCTGAATTAATCCTACAGCTGTGTATCACGCTACCCTAAAATGGCCTTGACATAGGTTGACTGCAGGAAACTTATGGATTCTTCATGTGCTTGATTGTCAGGAAATTGCTTTGTGTATAACTGGGAGGATGCTGACCATGGTTGAATCTGAGATAAAAACATATTGTGATAATTGCCAATGTAATTTACAGCTAAGTAGTAAAAGGGCTTTAAAAAACCAAGAGATGTACTTAGCTAAATTCTTCAAACACTTCAAAACATTTGTTTGGAAAACAGAGTAAAACATAAACATATAGATTTAGCTAAACAGATAAAAGATAATTATATCAAGCTTCCCAAATAGTGGGATGTTTTCCAAAGACAATAAGGACAAAGATAATAAGATGAGTCCAGAGAAGGGCCACAGGGATGATCAGAGAACTGGAAGACCTGCCACATGAGGAGGTGCTGAGAAAAGAGAAAAGAAGGCTTAGCGGACACCTTATTACCATGTTCTGGTACTTAAAGGGTGTCTGCCAGGAATCTGGAGACTTCCTTTTTACAAGGGGTCACATGGAAAAGATGAGGGATAACGGGTGCAAGTTTAACCTTGGGAGATCCCAGTTGAACACAAAAGGACAATTTTTCACTATGAAAACAATCAGCCATTGTAACAATCTCCCCAGGGAAGTGGTGGATTCTGCACCACTGGACACGATCAGCTGGACAGGACGCTAGGTAATCTTGCCTAGACCAGGCTTTTGTCAAGAAAAGTTGCACCACATACTCCTTGAGGTCTCTGCCAACCTGGTGTTCTATGAATATCCATTATTTTAGCATTCTCACCAATTTTGACTTCAGCCCACATTTTCACAATAGATTTACTAGCAATCAACAGCAAAAGCAATTGTTTTGGCAGAAACATTGTACAATTGTCACTTAGAACATTTTCTGCCCTGCCTTTGATGTCGTTTATTAAGCTATTCTGCTTACATGCATTTAGGCTATCCAGAAACTTAATTTGTCACATCATTTTTATTAATGTCTATTGATTGCCTTTTCAACAGAATTCTGTGACCTTTGAGAACGTTAGCCAAGGGGCCTGATTATGTGATAGTTCCTGTTTAAAAATCTATTTTTACAGTGAATGCCATGTTAAAAACACTGCTGTAATAGAGATGTGAAACTATAGACTATAGACTTCAGAACAGAACACTGAGAAACACCCTTAACATACTGAATGTACAGCTGCTACAGTCCTATTAAAAGGAAATTTAGTACTCTGTACTCATACTGTAGATTCTAATAATGAAGAAAATAATACAAGAGTGCACTTCAAATAGTTTAGCGAATACTATGAGGATATATCCCATTAAACCAAAACAAACAAAAATCAGATTCATACAAAATCAGCTTCATTTTAATCAGGTGCCATGCTGGTGGGGCTCCACTTCACAGCTTCCTTCATTGCTCAGAAGTGGAAACCTGGACATTAGTAAGAACTTTGCAGCAATAAGCTGTTGATCAGGAAGACTAACACTCTCCCTCTCCAGCATCCTCATAGATAAACTGAGGAAGTGTGGTCTTGATGGTCAAGTAGTGAGGTGGATCATGAACTAGTTGAAAGAAAGAGGTCAGAGAGTTGTGATCAATAGCAGAGAAACTAGTTGAAGGTCTGTGACTAGTGGTCACTAAAGGGACTGGTGCTGTTTGATATTTTCATCAATGACCTGGATGAGGGAACTGAGTGTGCCCTCAGCAAGTTTGCTGATGACACCAAACTGGGAGAAGTGGCTGACACACCAGAAGGCTGTGCTGTCATTTAGTGAGACCTGGACAGGCTGAAGAGTTGAGCAGGGAGAAACTTGATGAAATTCAACAAGGGCAGAGTCTTGCATCTGGGGAAGAACAGCCCCAGGTACCAGTACAGGCTGGGGGCTGACCTTCTGGAGAGCAGTGTAGGAGAAAGGGACCTGGGGGTCCTGGGGACAGGAGGATGCTCATGAGCCAGCAATGTGCCCTTGTGGCCAAGAAGGCCAATGGCATCCTGGGGTGCATTAGAAAGGGGGTGGTTAGTTGGTCAAGAGAGGTTCTCCTCCCTCTCTATTCTGCCTTGGTGAGGCCTCCTCTGGAATATTGTGTCCAGTTCTGGGCCCCTCAGTTCCAGAAGGACAGGGAGGTGCTTGAAAGAGTCCAGCACAGAGCCACAACAATGATTAAGGGAGGGGAACATCTCCCTTATGAGGAAAGGCTAAGGGAGCTGGGTCTCTTTAGCTTGGAGAAGAGGAGACTGAGGAGTGACCTCATCAATGTTTACAAATAAGTTTAGGGCAGTGTCAGGAGGAGGGAGCCAGGCTTTGTTCAGTGATGTCTAGTGATAGGACAAGGGGCAGTGGGTGCAAACTGGAACATAGGAGGTTCCATGTGAATATCAGGAAGAACTTTCCTATGAGAGTGACAGAGCCCTGGAACAGGCTGCTCAGAGAGGTTGTGGAGTCTCCTTCACTGGAGACATTCAAACCCCACCTGGACACATTCATGTGTGATATGCTCTAGGTGATCCTGCTCTGGCAGGAGGGTTTGACTAGATGATCTTTCAAGGTCTCTTCCAACCCCTGGGATTCTGTGATTCTTTGTCCATAAGGAAATAAATCAACACAGAACCAAACATGTATCACAGAAAAAAGCCTAGCAGAGAGGAGCTGGTTTTCTGTCCCCCTGTCCCACTCCATCTTGCTCTTTTCCCAGAAAAGACTAACCTTCAGCTGTGAGATCTGATTGTTCTTCCTACATTCAAATAAACATGAGCCCAAAACACTATTCTGGTTTTTCACTTTTATACCATGGAACCACTGAAATTATTTTAAAGAACAAAAATATAAACAGACTGTTCTTCCTTTTGCAATTTTTCCTCATAATCAATCAGCATCAAGAGTAAAGCATGACACTTTATTAAAGAAGAACTTACAGCCATATAATAAAACTTCTCTGTTGGCAATAAGAAACATGGTGAATAAGTCACTTTGGTAGATTCTGTCATAATAGCAATAAATATAGTAACTTTGGGTGACACTAAATGCAGGAGTGACAGTACATGCTGAAATCTGGAGTTCGCACTCTAGTTCCCAGTATTCTGGGCAATCTGCGCTCAGTGCTGTATTGTACTAAGGAGAGCCCTGCCAGCAGGCTAAAGGATGGGATTACTTCCCTAGAATCCTTAACAGATTGGAGCACCTGATACATGAGGAGCACTTAAGAAAGCTGGGACTGTTAGGCCTGGAGAAGTCTTACAGAAACAAAGACAACAGAGCCAGGGTCTTCCCA